GCCAAATATTAAAAAGTTGTATGTACTTAAACAAACATTTTATTTTAAATCGTTTTATATAAAAATATATCAAACCATTTTTAGCTGACAAATTTTTTGTTGACGACATTGACATACACAAAGTGATAAAAAAATAATTTATCCAGCTAAAACAATTCAATAATAAATATTAAAATTGAAATTAACAAAAAAAAATTACGAAAAAGCGTAAAAATGTTTGAAAAAATTGTTTAAATACTCATTGAACAGTTAAAAAATACATCATAATAATTTTTTTTATTTTTTTTTATTTTTTATTGTTGAGTATCCTACAAAAAAAGTTCTAGATAAAGTAGGAGAATGTATTTTCGTAAAAAAGATTTAATTACAAAAATCTATAAAATAATCATGCATAAATCTACGTGCTAATTCTATACTTGATTACATTACGTTTATCACATCACTGATAATGAGCGTAGTAAATCGTTTCCAAATAGTCGTGCAGAGGAAGGTTCGTCACGAGAGTGAGAACAAATTTCTCAAGCATGACCATGGGCGCAATAAACAATCTCAGAACGCATTAGCCTCGGGAGAATGTTGAAGGTACACTCCAAAAGAGAAAAATCGACAAAATGTGTGTGGGGGGGAGGAAAAGCCCACCGCGACGCGCTTGTTTATCCCGATATAGATAAAGACCTTTGGCCGGAAGATTATCCCGATTCCCGGCGATTCTCTTTACCTTCTCGCTTGCACGGGGTCATCTGCTGCGACGATGCGAAGGAAAAAAAAAAAGACGCAACGCTGCGAGCTCGGAGAAATTGTTGCACAGCACAAAAGAGATGGGGCACCCTCGATGCACTTGAAATCGTTGCAAAAAGAGAGGGGGGGGTAATGCCGATGTAATGGATATAAAGGGATTAAGACATTTTCTCCACTCGCGTGCATTGTTTGCGGATTGATATTTATTGCTGATCGTTTTGCTGATGGTGTATTTTGTTGTCTGCCTTTTTTTTTCTTTTTAGAAAACACAAGGAGGTGTTTTTGCGACTCTGTTCCAAGAAAACTTGTGTGTCGCTGTTGTTCTTGATTAAGTGGACGAATTAATTAAGACTGCCTAGCGCGAACAAACGAGGATTTCGCGGAGGAGAGTAATCGCTGGTTTTTCGTGCGCGTACACGTGTTATATTATACGCGTCAGCTAGATAAATGAGCGCGTTGTATCATGAAATTAATGTATCGTAACAGGAAGTTGCTGACATTTTTGTGAATTATGTTGGAGCTGTTTTTTTTTGAGCCGCTAGTTTTAGTTATTATTTGTGCTCTAGAGAAAAATTATTTATATAAACTTATGAAATATATAGCACGTTAGAATTTATGATTGAAATCTATAATTTCAATCATAAATGTAAGTTGATTCCAGATGTCACAAAATTACTTATTTACTAAATTTACAAAATGTTTCCAACGAAAATTAGTGCTACGGTTGAATCACCTGATGTTTATTTAAATAGTTATTTTAAACTCTTTGACACTTTGTTCTGTTTTAAATTGTTTTCGTTTAAAATTAAATGCACTATTTATCTTGAAAAACATTGTATTAAGTACCCTGTTTCAAAAAGTAATCATGAATATTAAATAATACATTATGATTTTAGGAAAAAGTTATATTGCAAATGATTTGAATTATATAACCAAGTTTGATCGTGTCAATCGTAACGTGAATTTTTACGATTTTTCCGAGTAACAATAAATTTAAATACGTTTCATCGCACAACGCATCAGATTCGTAGAACCAGAAGGATATTGTATAAGGGACAGTAACGTCTCCCAATTATCGTAGATAATACTATTTTATTGGCCGACTGATTCGCCTCCACTTTGCATTTTAATGGGTGCGAGTCATTCCGAGTACGTTTTTTTATCGACATTTTTTTTCTCCCGTCTCTCTGGAGTCCATCAAGATTTTTATCGCGGGACAAGAGCAAATTTACGCATCCGGATTCTCCCATGGATTAAAAAAACGTACGAGCCATGAAGCAGAGTAAAAAATTGTACCTTTAAAAATATTTGTTTTGATGAAAGAGAATCATTTGTACGAACATTTGTTTTTTCCTCTCCCTCTGATGAGTCAAACTTTTATGTTTGAAAGAAAAAAAAAACAAGAAGTTCCGCATATATATAATTCAATAAAAAAAAAAAAAAACTTCCTACAGATCCTCCAATCACAGAGACAGGTCAGGGGGAAAAAATTCCCTCAAACACCAGTCGTTGAAAGGAGCGAAGGAAGAGCACTGAGCGGCCAACAAAAGCCATCAGGTCCGCTCGTACAACAATATTATACGGGCCTGCAGCCGCTTGTAATCGAGACCAGAAGCCTTTTTACCCCGTCCGGTTGACGCGCCTTGAGACGGCCAATATAGATAAATCTAACGATCGCCTCGCGTCTTTGTATACGAATGGTGTAATAAGTATACACTTCTTTCGCTCGGCCTTGCGCCTTTGTGCTCGTTTTCCTTTTTCATTGATGCCTCTCGAGTTGCTCTCCTTCCCCCCCCCCCACGATTCTACACAAGTGTGAATTGACACTTTTGATGAAGAGTTGAGTACATACGACGGTTTGGTTGTGTGTTAGTTTTTCAATCAGGTAACGTGAGATTTATCTTGTGTAAAGGACATTTTTTTTGTTCGTCATCAACGTAAATTTCCGTTTCGTGTTATCTATAAATTTTGTATCACATTTTTTTTCGATTATTTTATAAATCAAATTACACATGGCACAATCTTGTGTGTAAAATAATTTTTAATTGTATAGTTAGTCATACTCTAATGTTGAATTGTATAATATACCTACTTTGAAGACAAATTTTAATCAAATTTTGTTCCATTCAAGCTGAGATTCGTTAGTACATAGCTCAAATATACAAGTTCACATGCAAGGAATTTTTTATAACCTTATCCAGATGAAATTAAATTAGTTAATATTAAACAATATGTTATATAAAATAAGTGTTATTGTCAAACTGAAATCAAAGAAAATAATTAATTTTTAAATTTTAAATAAATTTACTACATTTACCAACAAAATAGTAATGATTTGGCTTAAGAGAGATCAATACAATCTCCAAGTCTAACGTACATTAACCCGAGGAATTTTGTAGGCAAGTAACTGTATCATGAGAACTATAAAAAAAAAAAAAAAATCACTAACCCCAATGTAATTACACTCCTGAGAAATGGCTAATTTATTCTCTTTTATTTATCATGGTAGGCCAACATTTTTATGTATAAAATCAGTTCATCTATCGTGACGAGCAAAAAAATACGCTGCGCGATCTCTGATCACTCGATATTCCGTTTTAAGATTTATTTCATGATTTGGAAGCTCTAGGAGGAAAAAAAATTGAACACCACAAGCTCCAACAATCATATTATACAAGTATGAATATCCAATGAGTACCAGCGCACCACTCAACCCACATTCAGCTGCACCTCTTCAGTCCCGTATTCATTATTCACTTGTTTATCATGCACTTTTGCCAGTCCGTCGAATACAAATCATCCACGTAACAGTTCCGTGAAAGCACGAAATAGCTTTTCTTCCGAATGCACGTGCAAAAGAGGTCATCCGCGGAAGCCGATTATTACAGGAAAAAAAAAAAAAATGGAAAGAATGCAAGGATCACGTCACTTCTCGCGTACGAAACTCTCGTCGACTCTTGTACGCGTGTGTATATACTAATAGGCCTCTGTCCGAGCAATTATTATTCTCATAGAGCAACGAGCGGACGACCGTAAAACGCAAGGGGCAAAAAGCCCTAAAGGAAGAGTCCCTCGTGAAACCGCAGTAAATGAAGTAATAGCTCCGAGGGAGGGAGAAGGAAGCTCCGTCGGAGCAACTCGCGGTGTAGCTATGCGTGTCCACGATCGGTATGACGAAACCCGTTGCTTTTTGCTGCTCTCCATCGCCTTTTCTTTTTTTTTCTTTTTTTTTTTTTTTGTATTTTCCCGGCAGGGATTCACTTTGCCGTTTACTGAGGTTTTGTTATGCCGAGCGCGTGCTGTTTGGTTGCACCGATGTTTCCGAAGGTAGGGAAATTGAGCTTTTATGCTCGTCGCTTAGCGCAAAAGACTTTTTCCGAACTGATTGAACGGAAAATCATTAGACGGCACACATCACTTTGATCGCACGCCGATTATGAAACAACGATTATTAAGGATCCTAATATGTCTCTGCGAGTGGAACTTGATTAGCGGTAGGTACTGAGAAACATTAGGGGCTGTTTGCTCGTACTGTAAAAAAAGTTGAAGCAATCTCAGATTGACTTCATCATGATTTCTAAAGGGTTCGATGTAAAACAAATCATACAAAATCTACTAGTCGGTTAAGTAGTATTTTATAAAATGGTGATGAATACGGGGAGGGCAAATACATAAATAATTTTATTTTGGAATTGTTTTCTTTCAGTTTTTTTCCGATCTAATTGATTATATGATTTCATTGATTTCATGAAATTTTGATACGTATTGATACAATTTTTATTTGTAAATGTGAAATAATTTTAATCATTCTAGTGATGCTCTCTACGTAGAAGTAAGTTTTTGGAGAAATTTTGTAGTCATTTTGTTCATTAGAAAAATTTAAAGTTGGAGCAAAAAAATATTTAAGTCAAGGAAGCGATGGCTGTGAGAAATACTTCGGTACATAGGTATGAATAAATCAAAGTTGAACGTTTCCCAGCATCGGTTGAAACTCGAACAGTAAATGAAAAGATTGCCCGAGTTAAATTACCTCCTGCAGAAGACATCTCAAGGACGCTTTCGTGTACGAAAAACAAAAAAAAAAAAAAAAAATAAAAAAAACAGTTCACGTAGCTTGGCTCTCCTACGCAAAATGTACATACTCTCGAATAATTACAGTTTTCAAATTTTTTATTTTTTTTCAAGGTACGCAGTTTGGCTCAAACGGAATGGCCCTGCTCCGGTATAATATATATTATGGAAGTCTTTTTCCCCGAAGAGGAATAAAACAATATGCATGTGTGAGTGTGTGGAGCAAAAATTTTTGCTTTATGGATCGGCCTGTTGAAAAAAGTGCGTATCCGCGCATACGTTTAGCTGAGCCCAGAGAGAGAGAGAGAGAGAGGGCACCGGGAGTGTGTTATTATATTATTAAGCGAGAAAGTTATGTACACGGGAGGTGTCGAAATTGCTCGCAACTATACTTTTCGCCCGTTTTTGCCGAATTTTTTCGAGACAAGCGTGTGGAGAACGAGTACATCGTGGCTTTCTACTCTGCATACGTCTTTTGGGCCCTTGCAAGCATCATCGGTCCCATATTTCAACCCAAATCGGTGGTTTCACGTCCTCGTGAAGGAATAAATGAACGGAGATTTTTTTTCTTTTTTTTTTATATTGAATAAATGGTCCACAATATCGCAAAAATATTAAATAAACTAAAGTCCCGATTCGTTTATCCAAAATAATACATATCAACTACAAAAGAGCGGGTGTTCTTTTTTTTTTATGCCTTTTTTTCACTTCACGTGAAATCAGCTACAAAATTACATTAATTAATGAAAGTTGGTTAAGGTAAGGCTGTCTATAAGGTATAAGCTCCCACTAATGCTGTTAAATATACATAAATTAATTATTATTTCTGGATTTTTAAAATTGTTGACGTTTGAGAGTGTGAAATATATATTTCTAATATTTCTAAAAATTGTATTGTGTAAGCTTAAAAAATTTTTAATTTCCGAAACATTGGTTTTTATATTGCAATTTAGACTTGAAAGAGGTAAGTAAAAACGTTTGGATTTTCTTTATTTTTATGGGCCAGCTTAACCAAAAAGAGTTACTTTTATGCTTCCTTTTTTGAAGTGTATTACAAAAATCAATTATTTAGTACTTAACGTTATCTGTCATAACTTCAAATACGTGTAATCTTAAAAATCCATTTTGTACAGTAAATACAGTGTCTTGTTAGAAACTAAAGCGAGCAGTACATATATTTTTTGTTAACACGCATAAAGTGATTTAAAAAAAAAAAATTGTTTTTTCGAAATACTTTGGCTACATTTAATAAGTATAAGACATATATTAACAGCAAATTTTTATACACCAGCTTGAATTGATTCAACTCTAATTGAGCGAAAAGTTAACTGTACAATAAGCTTTTGTGTAATAAGAGACAATTTTAATTACAATTCTTTAAAAATGGTAAAAATATGTGATACAATAAATTTGGCAACTCTGGCAATAGAACTGTCATTACATTGAATAATTGGAAATTGAAGAACCAAAAGGTGAGTTTTTTTAAGCAGCTCATCTCTACTTATAGATCTTATTATCTGGTCAGGCAATTTTGGTTACGTACGGGGAACACGAAAAAGAGATAAATGTTGTTACTCCTTTTTTTTTAGTATAATGCATTGAACAATTCGTTGGATTTTTTTTCAAACTCAAAAGCAATACTATACACATGGTTAAAAATACAACCAATAATAGTAAAATACACTCTACCAAAGAGAAGAGTAACGAGATAGGTATCTCTTCTTCAGCATCGTTATCATCATTTGTTCTTTATAAAATTTGGTAAAGATAATGTCAAACGTCAATGTAAGATATACATGACACAAGAGCAAACACATTTGGAATCTCAAAAAACTCTGTTTATGATCAAACTTAAAACTTCTTTTCTACTCACTTCGCACGTTAATTGCTTCAACAAAAAATTCAAAGAGTAAGATTAATGAGTTGAAAACTAATTTACATTATCGGAAAACTCACGTATCAAAAAATGTAAATAAATACGAGTGGTGATTGAATTATTCAGTTAATGTGAATAAATATTGTACTCTTTTGTGTCTTGTACAATAATTTAGGATATAGTGATGATCGCAATCATATCATTAATAATCATGTAAAACTCTTATTTTTCAATAATATTTGATTGTAAACAATTTTTAGCCGTTTGGACTATAATTAATCATACTCTTACTATGTAAAAAAAATTTTTTATCCACATAAAAAGAGAATGTTTTTTTTTTGTATTATTAATATAATCAATTTTTCAAAAGAAATTTTGAAAACTTTGGAATGAAAAAAAAAAAATTCTACAATACTCAAATAGCCGTTTTAAACAGGCATATGACTAATGAATATATTATGAACCTCTTTTGTAAAATGCTTTTTAACTACTGAAGTTTTAAATTCTTATCTTAATTTATTTTCTTTTTTCAACTATTGTTGCAACATACTACGAAAACTTTTATAAGCTTTCTCTACACGATAAATACCAATAATTGCCATTCACCCATCAAGTAAATTCTTAATACCCATTACATAAACTTTACATCGTTGACTTCACGTTTAAAATGTTTTTTTTTTTTCTTTTTTACTTTTGTCTTCAAATAAATACGGTCAATTATTATAACAACTCTAAGTACGCAGTACCTAAAATCTCCTGAGATTTTGTCTTCTTAAAGTTACCAATTGATGAAATTAACAATGCTTTCCATAAGGTTATTTGACATCAGATAAAATGGTTCCAAGCTGTTTCGCAACCCGCCGTTTCCAGAGTAGAATATTTAGCTCCTCAATCAGAGGTGACCCGTAACACATGAGGGGCTAAAAGCAAAGAATAATCCCATGACAAGGTTTTCGATTAAATAATTCCTTCTTTTTTTCTTCTTTTTTTTTCATACAGAAAATCCAGTTATTATTTAATTTGGAAACATCGACAACGGATGACGAAATTCCATCTTTAGTGGCACATGACTCAGAAATATGGCAGAAGGAGGTTCCTCAAGGAGTTTCCTAGGACGCGACAATACGCACAAAAAAACTTTGTCCATGGCTTCAAGTATCGGGAAAGCAAAATTCGTAGAAACGGGGGTAAAGCCCTTCCAGTGCTTGGTGTGTCCACGAACATTTAAAAATAAAAGTTGTATGGTGATACACATGAGGAGTCATACCGGCGAAAAGCCTCACCAGTGCAGCGTGTGTTCCCGAAGATTTAGCCTCAAAGGCAATCTCACGGTCCATACTCGCACCCACACGGGTGACAAGCCCTTCGAGTGCGCGGTATGTGGCAAAACGTTCGGCCACAAATCCAATCTCACCAAACACATGTCCATCCACACGTCAGGTGAGCGGGCCTACAAATGCTCCAAGTGCCAAAAAAGTTACAAATCCTCTACATACCTCGAACGGCACGAGAAAATCCATACGGGCGACCGCGAGTGCTCCAAACATCCGAAATCTCTGGGATCGAATAAAGATGTCACTCGGCACACAGACTTCCAGCGCAACACCTGCCATCCCTCCAGAAAGTGTTTGCAGACCTTTGGCCACAACTACAGCAGTCCCGTGAATCATTCGCGTGGCTGGAATTACTTTCACTGCGATGAATGCCAGCAATACTTTGGCGATTCGGACAGCCTCAGGTATCATAGACTTGTACGTCACTTTTACCCCTGCCCACTGTGTTCGCGGTCCTTTGGCCAGAGCAGAGATGTTTCGGCGCACATGGCCTCTTATCACTGCTTCCGTTGCTACGTGTGCCGAAGAATTTGTGCCGGATCTTTTGATCTCGCGAGACACAAATGCCACCCTCGTGGTCTTGAATGACACGTGATTTCGTCACTGTGTTCAGTTACAACGGACATTACGAGAATTTCCTTTCGTATAATCTCAAGCGTAGATTTCTCCTTTGTGGATAGCAATTATCTATGATGCTGCAGGCTTCGGTGATAGCATTTAGCTTATGAAGGTGTCTTGAGCAAGTGACTTTTTTTTATTGTAATTATTTTGATACCGGCAATAAATGTATCCGTGTTTTCAATGATATCCAATAAACGCACGAAAATTTGTAGCTTACCAATTTTGCTTTTCCCTCTCCCATGAGGTTCACGCATCTGTATGTCTTCTAGCACTGAGAGATCCTAAACATCATGCATTATTTTATTTGAAATTTCATAAAGTGATAAAAATAATGCAAGACAATAGTAATAAGGTAAGACTATAATATTGCATACTCAAAATAAACAAAAACAAAAAAACAAAAAATCAGAATAAAACAAACACAAATTGCTCATAACAATATTTTTAACTACAATGAGAATTAAAATACAAAAAATATATGTCATGTTGAATACAAGTTGGTCGAGGAGATAATAAAATATGACTTTTTATATACATACTCATACAGATGTAAATTTTTTTTCTACGTGTAATATACTACAGTTTCAAAGGTTGGGAAAATGTTAGTAGATTCAAGCTTCCTTTTATCAGGAAGGAAGATACTCTTTTGTTATCATAATGGCAATCGTCTATTTAATTTGATGCTATTTATACAATTGGACGCATCACTTATCATTGAAAAATTGAAAGAAAAATGTATGCCCTTTGCCACTAATGTGCCATAGTTAACAAACCACCTACAGCAATAAATTCACCCCCTAAACATAAGAATGTACCCCCTAACGCACGCAATGGCGTAAAACCAATTGAGCTTTTACACGTACATTTTATCATGACGCGGAAACGGTGCTTATTACCCGTGCGTAAATGTACGTCCACCCATTCACGTATAATCCCTCAATTTTCGCGACTTATCCAGCGAATTTTCTTCAAGTGTGTACATATACATACATATACATATACATATATATATATATACGTGCTCGCGCAAGAAACAACATCATTACACGCACTCTCTGTACTAATAAGCAGCTATCCGGTAAATAATCATGAGCATTACGCGTAATTTCGGCCAATTGGCTTTTATAATGACGTCCGCCGGTGGTCCCTTCTCTCGGCGTCTGGGACCCCAAGCCCGAGCTCATCCTCTCTCCCTCCCTCGTACCGCGAAGTTTACATTAAAACGAAGATTAATCGGGTACGCGACCGCTCTTTGCGGAATCTCGCAAAGCCGCCTAGCCAAGCCCCACGGAGGGCACTGCTCGTGTGTGTGTGGGTACGAGTATTTACTCGCGTGTACGTGCAAGCGAAGCGTACCGAATGTGAAATTGTCTAGGAAATATATGTATATCACGGGTAACGAGTAATTTGAGCAAATTGCCAATTTCTTCATTTGCCAGAGGGAGCAGCTGTGGGTACACGCGAATCTAACGTGTTTTTTGTATGCTGTACAAATTACGATTGTTTGTTCAATTATATAGGCTGTAAAATTTTTCACGCAATTTTTTCAAGTACCCACCACTTCTACGGCATCGAGTTGGTTTCTCACTTTATGTGACACGTTTCAAAGGGATTAATAACCTATAGTGATGAATGAGTTTCATCAACGCTATAAAGGTACGTGATGTTGGGATCCCCCCAAATGCAGTTCCTCGCTATGAATCCAACGAAAGTTTCTCTGAATCGATTTTAATGAAAAAGTATTTAAAATCGTTTTTCTAAAAACATTTCAATGCTCGTGTCATCTAAAACAATAAAACCTTGGCCCAACAAATTTGCCTCGAGTCCGATGCCACCAAATGAACAAAGTTCCACGTGCTATTTGCCTTTTGTCCCTTCGATAATCGCAACCGGTTGAACAAACGCAAGAGGCGCACAACCTCGCGGTATACAATCTGTAAGAAAAGCCAAGCGAGACGAGACCTTGACTTTTCCGTCCCCCATTCAGACGTACTTATCAATTTATTCTCCGTAGAAAGCCGAAAGTACAACAAAGCGGAAAACAGCCAGGACTGACTCTCCGTGCTCGTCCTTTCCCAAATATTTGCTCAATACTAATCGGGGCCCTCCCCGATCTCTTTTTCCTCTCGACAAACGCCTTGGCAAACAAGAATATTCCTCGCGGAAACGTGTACTAATATGAATCAAGAACCATTCAATCGCAGCTCTTTTCCCTCCTCCGTCGTGAGTCTTTCCTGACGTCGAGGAGTCAACATTCCCGAGAGCGGCCCCTATACGCGATGCTCACCTCGAGGGGAGAAACACCTTGGACCGAAGCTGAAGAAAGAAAAATAATTTAAAAAAACATAAACAATGAACTAGAATAACCCATCGCGCTTTGGAAGCTGCATTTGTGCATTTATACCTGCCTTCTTTGGTGATTGAATCCTATACCTTATTGTCACTTGGACTCGAAAAGCCAAAATATTGGGACTTTCTGGTAGCCTGAAAAGTGAAAGAGTCATTTGGGCAATAATATATGAACATTAAAATGTTAGTCGCAAAAATAGGATGATTTCCGAGCCCTGAGATTTCGTAGTTGGAGATCGTCTCGGACAACGGGTTGCGTTGTATATATACGTAAATACCCGTGTATACAAAACGAACGGCGGCAGGGACAACCCGTTGGGTTTTACTTATGTCAACTTGATTTACAATAGTTTTTGCTGTAGGGTGTAGAGAGAGAGAGAAAAAAAAAAGATGAAAGTATAGAGGCGACGAGAAAAGCCACATGGGATAAGTTGCAAAACGGTGAGACTTGCCGCATGCGGTGCTCTACGCGTTATATCCCACACACCGTGAAGTAGGAAGAAAAGCGATTCTTCTGGCTGCGTTGCTTGTGCTACGCTTTCTCTTTTTTTTTTTTTTTTTTTTTTTTTTTTTTTCTTTGTTCTCTGAGCGGGAAAAGGAGAGTACTCTTGAGCAAGTGCAAACCCACCTTGTTAAATCCCTTTATACACCAATGCTTACGTGCTGTTTCTTTCTTTTGACTTTAGTTGGAGGATCCGCCGAAATTCGTTAGACGAACGATGCATTTTGATAAATTTTTCCTTGACAAATTGGTTGGAATACGAAGGGACTTTTTATACAGCAAACAAGATAAGATTGAGAGGTTCAAGTGTCTAAACTTGTACGTAAGATTACAATAATTTGGTAATTTTGTAAGATTTCGTCCACTGACAAATTGGACTAATTGGATGAATAAAATCATCAAAGATTTTTTTTTGTTGAAAAAACCTCATTGCGATCAATTCTATTTAGCAATCGATTCTACCTCTAAGTCATTTGGTTTAAAATACACTATAAGAATCTTGTAAAACGTGTTCATATACTGCTCACAATGTACGGTTCAAATAGAAGGAAGAGAGGAAAAAAGTAAAAAGATTGGCTGATGTGTGTTCATACACGCGTACAAATTAATAATATTGTAGTTCTTTTCATTCGAAAAATTGCTCCCACGAGGGGGCAGGAGTGCACCAAAAGGAAGCACAAGCTCGTCACCCGAGGGTGACTTTCGTAGAAACACCCCCTTATTGGTAACAAAGGGGAATCGTGTGAGCGTACAAGTAGATGGGTTGTGGCGACGAAAATCTGCTCACCCACCGAGTCGTACAAAACCCGAGAGCCGGAAGGAAGCCACCAAAGGTTGTATGCCTACATGGTTCTTTTAAAGTGGGTACAAAGTGCGAGAAAGGAAAACCGTAATTGTTATTGGTCAGCTCTCTCTTTTTTGGGATAATTATATGGCAACTATGTGGCTTCTTTTTCTTCGGAGCCTTAAACTCCGGGTGCCCCCAAATCATCAAGTGCATTTCAATTCGGAAACACACCGTACGCGAGTCTTGCAAGGACTGACAACAATTGCCGTGGGTGGGAAACGTTTCTCAAGCGTTTCGCAAAAATGTGTACCTTAGTTAAGCAATGGATATTTGTTTGGTTGATATTAAAACAAAAATGTTGACTCCAAAACAAACACAAGCTGTCGCACAAAGTCCATCCGAAATTCTGTAAACAGCATCCAAACGATCTCATCACCAAACCCTTGTGTTTTTCCCACAAGAGTTAGAAAACACACATCGACAGCACGTATAATCGAACGTCAGCGATGATGAAAGGGAAAAAGAAAACACATTCCCGTCACGAATCATAAAGTCAAACACCGGCAAAAACCAAGTGATTCGAGGAGCAATTTCCAGAGACATCGCGCGTGCTGTCGCACCTCCGGCACAGCTTGCCGAGAAAACGCGGCGGCATCACGCCTGGGACCCCCGAACTCCTCCGTTGCGAGACAAAGGGAGGAGAGAGAGAAAAATCCTCCCTCGGTTGCCGCACACACGCACGGAAGAGAAAAGAGCGCGAAAACAAGCGAAGAGAGAGAAAAGTCCCGAGCTCGAATTTATATCGCGTACGCGCATCGGAAGCTAAGTGCAACCTCTTTATTTTCCCTCTCTCTCTCTCAAGCACCCTCCCTTTCCCCCGCGCGAAACGCTCGGGCTCTTAAAAATAATCGGCCGGGAGAGATAAATTCCGAGCTGTATGGGCACCGAGAGATTCCTGGCGCTTATCTCGAGATCGTCGTCGTCCTCGAGCCCGAGGAATTAATTGGGGGGCAAGTAGGAGTTTGAACGGCAAGCAAAGCAAGGGGGCGATGATTATCTCTCGCGCGAGCCGGATCATGTAAATCGTTCGCGCCTCCGATGCTACGCGCACTTGTTTATACGTGTATGTGTGCCACGTGTGTGCGCGTCCTCCAATACGCGTGACAAATAAAAGCCGCGGAGAGATGAATTGGGAGCTTTTGATTGATTTATGGAGTGCGTTTATCGAAGTTGTTAGCGCGCGGGTTTATGCGAGCGCGTGCATATATTGCATGCCCATACGTGCCCCTGCTCGCGTCTTGTTTATGGGGATGGATTAATTTTGGAGCG